AAAAAAAAGTTGCAAAACTGTTACGAAAAGTTTCATACAATTAAATAACATGAACTTTGAAAAACAATGCAATTCACAAACTCTGCTTTCCTACCTCCAAAATTCCTTTAAGTGATTTAACTTCATCTCTTAATTTCTGAAGAAAACCACAACAATATAATTTTACGTATAACAGTTTGACTTCGATGAACATTCACCTCTGCTACATGTAACAGAATGATCATAACTCTGCTAAACTTTTTCAGCTTGTCACACACTCTTTGAAGAGATTGCGTGACAAGCCAAAATAAGTCTCTGCGTCGACAGGCACCACCACTGGCAGAAACCTCCCCTTAAAGTACAGTGTAGACATCTCCTTTAAGAAGCATTATTTTTCATTACATGTACTTCATCATGTTTTATCATGTTACTGTACCTGATTTTCCTCTTGAATTTGGGTAAATTTTCCTTTCTCAAGAAGAAACATTTCATTTCTAAAGGCAAAAAGTAACAATGATAATTGTATTGAAATGTTTGTGTAATTCCTACTAACAACAAAAATACAGGCAACCTACATAAGACAAAATAAAGCATTACCTTTTCATTAAAGGTGCATTTATTTGCAATTTTTTTATTTTTCATTTTTTGCAAAATTTCACTTAGAATTATCTAATATATAAAAGTTGCATGATAATACACACAAATTAATTTTAGGAAATGATATGTTGCATTCACACCTAACTGAATCAACTAGGCCTTTAAACTTTACCTCGAGCCGCTCCTAGAAAAGAGAATTAAATAACAATAAAATAAACTAATCCATGTTAATGTATAAATAGACACATAATTGAGTGTTGAAGTACCACAAGTGCTAAATAAATGCATTATCCCAATACCTAATAATATGCCGATAACATTAAAATTCTTAATTGGCTCCGAGGCATGGGGGAATAAAACAATATAAGAAATCACATCCAAGTTGAGGGATGAAAAATTTATTTCTTTTGTTTTATTCTCCCAGGACCCAAAGCCATGTTAGAATTTTAATATACCAAAAGTGGCCTACTTTGCAAGGGCAAGGGGGAGTGGAAAAGAGGAGGTCACTGATTAGGTAGGGGTGGGTAGGATGAGAGGCCTTAACATTTTTGTGATGAGAGGTACATGTATCCAATGTGCCCAGAATTTTTTCTTTTTACTTCATAAAAAAAGTTTTTCATACAAATCCTTTATCTAACAATGCATCAGTGCAAATTGACTGCAGTACGTGTACACAATATTTAATAAAAAGGTATAAAGTCTTAGCTTTTGGTAAGGATCTTGGTATTAAAGCTGGCTCTATACAGTAAGTAGCAATTATTACCAACTATTTCAAAGATTGTTATGATGTCTGACTGCTTACAAGGTGGTACACATTGCAAGTTTCTATTGAGGGCCAGTTAGGGAGCTTATGCATATCCTTTGGAATTAAATGAGGACCTAAGGAAATAGCCTCGTGAAAATATTTGAAATTTTTTCTTGTCACAATTCCGCAGGATCCTCATTAGGTTTTCATATTGCTGTCAGAATTTCAACATAATAAACTGTCATTCAACATCATTATATTTACATGCCTCAATGTTGCTGTTTTAACGCATGTCAAAATTTTACTCCCACAAAGATTTCTCTTCAATATAATTTCCATCAAGTGACTTGGGAAGTACATAAAAATTATTAATACTACAGACTCCCTCATAAGTGGTACTTAAATACCACAACGATGTTTCGTTATCTTTGAATCAGTCTAATTTTATTCATAAATTGAAAGGCAACGGGCAAGAACGTCCCCTAGATTTTTCAGCTATTTTTGAAAGTGCTCAAAAATAGCCGAATTTTGGCATGTGGGCTTCATTTTACCTGAGAAACATTGCTCTGCAGTTTTTTTCGCTGGGTTGCTCTTCGTTTTTGAGAAATAACGTAAGCCAAAAAAGTACTTTTCCCAGCGGCATCTTTTTGTCGAACGGGAAACAAAAGAAACCTTTTGTTTTGCTGGGCAATGAAATCAACGAAGTGTCACATTAGCCACTTGTTTTTCAAGACAATACAAGTTTTGCATTCATAAAATAAAGCCTTCTGATCCATGTTGCTTCATTACCACAAGCAATTAAGGCGCTGCACGGGCCGAGATTGTGTATCTTTTGTCGTGAGTCGAGTTCGTCACGGCGTCAGGCCTTTTTTTCTTCCTGTTGATTTCTCCTTTTCTCTTTGAAACCAAAACATTAAAATGGGCACCAAGCATACTATTGATGCTGTTGGTGCTGAAATAAACCGTTCAAGTTTGCATCGAAATCCATCTTCGATTAATAAAACATTTATCGGAAGATTCGCCCATTTATTGATGCTGTTGTTGATAAACTTTTCAAGGTCTTTTTTTAAAGTGAAGTTTGAGCATTTGAGCATGTAGCGTTTTCAAAAAGCGAATTTATTTCTCTTAGATATAATTTCCATCAAGTGACTTGGGAATTATATATACATGAACTGCAGACTCTCTCAAAGGTGGTGCTAAGTACATCAAAGATGTTTCTGTACCTTTAAATTAAAGCCTATTAACTTAATTCATAAATTTAATAGATAGGTAAACTTGTTCACTTTTGCATTTACTGTCACTTGCATCTAAGTGTGAACACATCACGTCGAAACATGCTGTAATTGGGAGTCAAACGTTGCATGATTGGTCATCAAACATTTGAAGTTTAGCAGAGTGTAACGCAAACGTTTGCACTAAAAGTTCAGCACATGAAATGGCAGAAAGATTGGACAATGAAGAGTTCTACAGAGAAATTGACCCTGACCCGTGTCAATATGCATACACCTTTCGCAAATGTGGTTTACTTCTAGTATAACCATGAAATATTGGCGGGAGCAAGACTTTCAGAGTCTTCCAGAACATGAAAGTTCACGTTATGGTCTGCTAAACTTCAAATGTTTGATGACCAGTCATGTAACATTTGACACCCAATTAGAGCATGTTTCAGCATCATGTGTTCATGTTTAGATGCAAGCGACGGTATAAATCTTTCCAGAAGTCAATTACACACCTGATCGATTTTTGAAACAGTGCTGTCAGTCACATTAAGGACACTAGATGTGATAATTTCCACCAGTGACATTGTCAAACTTTCAGCTTGTGCTTCGCTAAAACCTGTAACAGACAGTGACATCTGCTGTTTAAAGATTGGTTCTGGGTTTTTCTTTGCCAATAAATTTCACTGATCTTGAACTTCAGTATCTGCATCTGGGACAGATGCAAGCAAAAATCGTCAAACAATATAAAAATTTTAAACCATAATCTTAGTTAAGGTTTTGTAATGCACAAACAAATAAAAACTAGCAATAAGAACAAACAAACTGTCGGTTTATTTCCAATTGTTTGAACTTGAAAATGGTGTCAGAACAACTCTAAAACATTGTTCATTCTTATCTCTAATTTTACTTGCTTGTGCAGACATAATCTTAGTTAACAAGAAAATAGGTCCTTTACTGAAGTTAGTGGTGTCAAACACGTTCATGACCTCATCGACGAAAACAGTAATGAGGATGCCATGGATGCATGGATGTAGGTTTATCTAAATCATTAATATATGTAATTCAAATAAACTTATCTTTTTTATTCTACTAGCATTTTCTTTGATTGAAGTTCATGTCACAAGGCAGGATTATATTAAGTATAAAGAGGCTATTCAAAAATATTATGTACACTCTACCATTTTCTTGTAGTCTTCTGACCAGTTTGTGGGTATCAAAATGAAAAGTTACTCCGCCAGGAGTTATATATGAAGAGCTAGACTTTGATCTTTTCCAGCACCCTTTGGCTGCAACAGTAAAATATTTTAACAGATAATTAAATTGCCCTTTCTGTTTCATGCCATCATAAAACCTTAATGGACAATTTCATGTACATGCAACTTTCAAGCTCAATGATGTTGTGTTATAGTATTTAGAAAAGGCCCTGTAAGACAGTATGCATTATTTAAATGAAGCCTTTCTTCTAAATCATTAGTATCAAATATCTACTAGCACTATATCATGAATATGCTGTTCTCTTATTGGCTACGCTACTCAAAATCTATGCTCAAACTGTTGTAGATAGTGAGTAACCTAGCAGTGTGCAGTTGAACACAATGGTGGCCATTTCTTTGCTTTTATGAAGTGTCTTTGAAGATGATTTAGATAAAGTTTTGAATGACTACTAGATTTATACTGTCTAAAACAATTAGATTATTTGCCCTTGATTTCGATAACTGATGAAGGCTACATCCTTATCAACTATCACATGACAATAATCTTGTAATCTTATCATTGAATAGAAACACAGAAGTACGGCACTGGCTGTTACATGTAATTGCATGGTGCAATGGTGTGCACAAAGAGGAATTACATCCTGATGATTGAATGAAATAAGTGATTCTCCTTTCTTTCTTTTAAAGCCTGTCATCTATAAGAAATATTTAAAAAAAATAGAAATTTTCCTACAGTGCTTACAGTGTATTTTGGTACCAACTGCACAGCTGCAATGTACATGTAGATCAATTTTATAAACTTTTCGGATAAGATCTACTTTTAACTCTGGGTTATATATTGAAACCATGCACTGGCCTGTTCATACATCTTTCTTTATAAATCATAGAAAGAAAGAGTTTAAGTATATCAAATTGACACACCACACATACATGTACCTAAAATTATATATTATGTAATACAGTACAGTGGAAGCTGGCCTGATGACCACCTTATTTGCTTATATGATCACCTGTTATGACCCAAAATGGAGCTGATCATCTCTAACAGCCAGCCCTGGCTAACAATAATAATAATAATGACTTTATTACCATGTCAGTTACATCTAGTGGAGAATCCCCCCTGCTAATAGGGGACACCTAACTAGAACTATCTGAAATAATATACAGAAAAGTCCTATAAGAGAAATTAAAATTACGAGTTACAAAGATGGCAGCCACTACATCCATCTAGGATGTTGTCTAGATCTAGCCTCCGAAGACAGGCTAACAATAATAATAATAATGGGGAGACAGATCAGCTGCTGAAGATAGTCTGACAATCACAGGCACGTAGTGTAGCTGCAACAGCAGCTTCGAAATGTCTTTAAAAAGTATCCTATGGTAGCCACATTTATCATACGCTATTAACACGAATAACTCACCATTTTGGTCTCTTCCTCCGTGGAAACAAATAGAAGAACACTTTGATAACAATAGTAATTTGTGTAAACCAGCTGCAGTGGAGAACATTTTCGAAGTTCGTGTGAAGCCGGTATAGGTAATATTGTTTGTATAAATCCTTCCGCAGTGGCAAGAGCGCCATAAGTTAAAAGAGCTGCTAAGAAGTACTTGATTTGCCTTGAACATTCTAAAAATCAGTTGCTTAGACTATCCAACTATAAGAATTTAATGTTAAAGGTTCTCCCCTCACAAACTGACTTCATGAACGAAGAGCTCACATGACGATGAAACTTACATGCAAATTTACCGCTAGACAATACTGAGTGCTCGGTGTAAAATGGGGGATATTACGAGACCTCGTGGTCGAGCTGGGGTGGGGTTGGGGGGAGGACTTATTCAAGATATTGGAAACAAAATGAAGAGTTTGTAGCCTTCAAAAGCCCAGCTCCAGAGGCATTTCAGTAAATAAGATATAGGGTCTCTAGTAGCAATATTACATGGAACTAAGTCAACAGCCAGGAGAAATACAAGAGACTAATGCTTGCTAGCCCCACCCACCCCCCCCAAAAAAATACAAATGTGTTGTTCCAGAAAATATCCATACCTCCCCACAAAAGCGATATTTTTCTAAGACACCTCCCTCCTACCCCTCTGGAAATATTCCAAATAAGCTTCATATTTCTTTTAATTTTCTAGTGTCACAGACCATCCCTCCCCCAATGCTGTTTACTATTTGTTAAGTTTTGTTAAATTTCAGAGTTGCATTTCTTCCAAAACCATTACAGTGGTTACAAGTATACATTAAGATTCTTCTATTTGTGAACAATATCATTATTACTTCCATTGACCTTTAACCAAGGAATGGGCATTCCCACTCTTCCCAAAGCTCCACCGTGGAGATCGTAGAAATGAACTAGCCCCACCATGGGGCATTTGCAGCATTTTTTCACAAAGCTCAACAACTTCTTGGGACGGGGGGGAATCAACACTCCCTTACATCTACTAGCCAATTGCTTTTATTACTACTGAGAGCAGCATTGCCTAATACTTATGGGTAAAAGTCATACCGTAAACACTGGTGGATAAGCCTCACCTTTTTACTCAAATTTTTCCATAAAAATTGGGGATGCAGCTTATCTGCGAGAACATCTGGAATAACATGCCATAAGTTTAAATAAAGTTAACACTTTTCATGGGAAATTTATAGGTTTGTATAGCAAACTACAGAATAGTAAGAACTTCATGATCATGAGACTAATAATATCAGAGTACACATCGATTAAGTTTGGTAGCTCCTAAAAGAGCCGTTTTTGGTAATTATAAGCATACATGTAAGCTTTTATTTCTCGCTGTTAAACACTGAAGAAGATTGTGAGCTAGTACAGAATAATAGCTACAGAATATTATACATATATTTTAATATATACTTTTTACTTAGTGTGCATTATGCCAGCATTCTGGAAGCTCTACATATACAGTGCTGTGCAGCTCTGACCATTATATCAATAATTCAGATTACATGTTTGTCAGAATTACAAGGAGCTCTAGTTTTTGTTTTTGCTATTGTTGTTTCATTTTTTTTCCAGAAGCAAAAACCTTCATTAAGCTGGAGTGCAACTGACAAGTTGCACTCATCTGTATATCATTGCAAGCGATATTTCCGTGTTTTTTATTCTTTTCACCAAGGATTTTACAACAAGCTATCATATTTACAGCTGGTTCAGTAACAATTTAACTTCAGCATTTTATTTCAAAAAAGGTGTTAATGGTTCCCTTCTTTCTATCTTTTTCCAATCTTCCACTTGATGTACAAGATTGACAAAAAAATATTGACATAAAAAAGAAAGAAATGAATAAATATTTTCTTTTTTGTACAACAGAAACACATAAACATAGTTATGCACGATGGTGTCACATTAAAAGGAAGCAATATTGATCTATACTAACTACATTCAAACCCTTACCAGGAGATAAACATTCACAATGCGAGTGGCATGTCATATACAATTACATGTACAGTAAAGAGCATCTTAAAAAACTTTTGGTAACCATTTGGAATGGCCCATATGTCCGTCAACAGTGAAGTCAAATAATTCTAACTCTGTAGTTTCTTGCATAAAAGCATGTCTTAAGTTGCACATACACTGTACACATTTTAATGACCTTTGGTACTCTAAAACATTATACCATTAAGTAAATGATTGATTGATTAAAAGCATTTTTTTAAAAGTATTATTTTGTAGGAAGCGTCAAGGCATTCTTGTTACATGGTAATTAACATGCGATCAGGCGTCTTTTTTTTTTGGTGAGTTATGACGATAAAGGAATCATTACCAAGAATTTCCCAGTACGTATGTTTGGCCTAACAGTGAGATGCCACTGCAAGTTTACTGTACTATAAATTATTTTCCTATTTTGCTAAAATGTTTTTTTTTTTTTTAACACACAACTTCTTGAGCACAATGTAACTGTGGCCAATCTTTCATCCCAAGTATGTACTGGTCATTGGTCTTGTAGAATTTCATCATCTCCTCGAGGCCTCTGTTTCCATCAACAACCTGAAGGATTGTTAAAATAACTCAGCATTAGTGAGGGACCAACATTTTTTGCAAGCAACTGGAACAATGAAGGAAGCGAAACTTACTCCAAAACCCATGCAGTAGCACTGTAAATTAAATTTCTAACACTACAGATGAGTAAACCCACTGTCACACAGTCTCCTTATTAAGGAACATTATCATACGGAGTTCTTTCTTTTTTGCAGTAGTTAAAACACTACTGTCATTTTTAAATTTTTCAATGTGTATTGTGTTTTTACTTACCATCACTGGTGCAGGGATAGGGAATTTTTTCTGGATCAGCCATTCTTCATGTCTTTCATGTAAAGCAACAAGAAGTTCCTGACAGCAGTAAGGAGAAAAACTTGTTATAATAATATTATTGTTGCAAACTTGCAAATCAGCACAGAAATCAAATAAACAGGCCAGAGCAACTGGATTTAAAGAATCTCCAAGGAAAGTAGTAAATATTGTAAGAAATTTGCATTGAAACCTGCAAGTCCACTAAGGCAAGCTGGGTAATATGTGAAATGATTGACAGAACTGAGGCATTACTAACATACCTTTTTCACAGTTACTGATGAACAGCAGGTAAAAAGTAACTACTTTCAGTTTTGACTATGGTCACATTTACAAATAAAGGGTGCAAATTCCACAACACTCTCTCAGTAGTCCAGGATAGATTCATTGTATGTGTTTCTGGACTTATGTGGAAGTGCAATTTTTCTATTCATTTAATTAACAGGTATACAGAGCACTTTCACCTACCATAGGGATAGTCTTTTCTTCACTTCGACACCGGGCTTTCATTCTTTCCATGCATATTTCGGGTGATGTCCTCAAGTAAACTTTTCAAATGAGAATTAGAAATTAATGAAATTACCATATTAATCGTAAATTTCTGATGTAGCATTGGTATACCTTATAGAATAACAAAATGTTTTGTCAATATAGAGTCATAGAAGCCTTTGGACTAGCACATGTTCAAAGTGATAATTGTGCAATCAGTTAGTATACCTGTTTTGTGCTTCATTTCAAGCCATGTCATACCCTAGTTACATGTAGGTATAATTTATATATTTTTATAAATTGTTGTTCTGACATAGAGGTTTATTAAGACATACTGCCTGCTTTATATTGTTAATAAACTCCTCTCTTTGTCTAAAATGAAGTGCGTTGTTTGGGGAATTTGAAATTTAACATTTTACAAATTATAGCTTACTTATCAGATCCAGGTGTGGTTGTTGTCTTTTTGTAATCCATTCAAACCATTCATTGTGTACAGAATGTTCTGCTTTGGTCATCATTCCACTAAACAGAGCCAGAGAAAGAGAAAAAAAAAAGATTATGCCGGGGTGGATCTACAGTTGTAGGAGGTTCAGGGGGTTCAGGGGGTTCAGTAACCCTCTAAATAAAAAAAAAATGAGACATTGTAACTCACTGACGTGACCTCAGAATGCCAGAAATCCCATTTCTGAAGACCCCAGTTAAAAAAATTTTAACGGGGCAGGATGCCCTTGGACCCCCTTAAGGGGACTGCCTTCGGCTGTCCATATCTCAAAGTGGAAATCCCCTTCTCTAAAATCCAGTATTGCCTCAGTTGTTCCATGGAGCTACATGTAATTGCAATGTTTGCATTTAGTATGCAAGTGTTTCAGGTGAAAATGGTGGGTAACTAAAACTCTATGGCAGTTTGTCAGGCTTCAAGCATTTTTCCTGTTTTAAAAAGGGAGTAAGGGACTACTTAACTTCGAGAAATGATTAATTTAGTTGTTGTTGATACTTCTATCTTCAATCGCTTTTGCGTTTTTTTCCTTCTTTGAGGTGGTCTGCTTTGCACAGGGATTAATGTCTCTTTTGGCACCTTTCTGTTTTTTTCTTATTGCATAGTATTTTATGTAGTTTTTGATCACTTTGGACCATTAACCCATTGACTCCTGTGCTGGCTGTAACCAGCTGTGGCGAGCCTTGGCCTTTCTTCCACTTTTGACATCATCACCTTTGACCAAAATTGGCATCATCTATGCTAGGTGGAAAAGATGTTTCCAATGATACTCAGATCAGAGTGATCAGCCTAATGGAGCCTGAGATATGCACAAAAATACTCAAAAAGTTGAGTGAAAAACTCAGAGCAAAATTTCCTGCCACTACATAAAAGCACACGTGGTTACTCCATGGCAAAAATTGCCTGTCTCGATGATGATTTCTCAAAATGTTTTAAACTGGAAGCAAGCCCAGTAGAAGGTCAATCACTGCAGCAAAAAGAAAAGAAAAGGAGAAAAAGGAAAGTTGAAAAAAAAAAAATGAAAAAGCCTAAAGACAAAATTTTGATTTCTGCGCATGCCCGAGCAAAAATGTTGTAAAAAAGCGATGCTAGTGGAAAGAAGGGCATGCTGTCATGTTGCAAATGCCTTTTTAAGTAGATTGGAGCTAATTTGGCCCATATCCAGCCTGAAAATCTCCAAAATGTCCAAAAAAATGCGTTTTTGGCAAAAAGCTCCAGGAGTCAGTGGGTTAAATAAATAGATAAATAAATAAATAAATAAATAATAAATTAAATTCATTCATGCTGTACAATACCTCTTACAGAGATTATGTTCAAAGCAATAGTAGCCACTGTAAACACTTCTCTCAATCATCTTCACTGGAGTTACCTGTTTTCAAGAATGTAATGCAAAAAACTCATTATACACAGTGCAGTGCTGAACATTATAATATGCAGTGGAGAGCATCAGTTTAACAAATAGATTCCATGTTGCTGTTTGTCTGTTCAGTAATAGATCAAAGATGATGCCAAAATGTGGTAAGATCAAAAAAGTGGTACACGAGCCGTTAGCTGATTGTGTCACTATTGTTCTTACCACATTCATTTAAATGTCATCTATACATCTGTCCTCCAATACTATAGATCATAAGTATTTGTAAGAACCAATCAAAATGCAAGAATTTGACCTGTTATATAACAAATATAATATAATACTAAATATTGCACAGTAATGCCTTCCTAAGAATACTCACATGTGGTTTCTTGTGGATTTTCATGAGACTAAGAACAGCACAAGATTCAAACAGGTAACTCCAACGTTGACAGTCGGTGTAAAACAACTCCTTTTCACCAAGAAATGAAACGACTGTCAGACAATTTGTACATCAAGATCTGTTTGACAGACATGGGACAGGAGGACATCCTCCCAGTTTCTACAATGTACTTCAAAAATTGAAATATTGGAAAAAGTAAGGAGAGAAAAAAAAGTACTTGTCTATGAAGATGCCAAAATGCATAATATCCAGTCATGAATTAGCAACCGATAAGTCCATCTACCAATGTGATTGGTGTGTTACTAACATTGTTGCATGTGTTTGTGATATCAATATGGCTCAGAGACCAATATGGCTGAGTGTACTGCGTAGCAAAGCCGAAAGGTTTATGTACGACTTATGAATCAACTTAAGAGATGAGAGCAAAAATTCATGTGTGACACATGAAAAGTCACTAAAAGATATACATGTATGTTTAATGTGATTCATGAATTTACATGTGCGAAAAAAAAAAAAAAGCTTGCTTAAAGCAGTTAAAACTATATGTGAAGGGTGAAATTTGTTAAGCAAGCTTCCCTTTGCTAACCTCACGGCTGGTGGCCAATGGGGTTACAAACTAGAGCTCAAGCAGTGAGTACTAGAGCTGTAGCTGGTACACCTCATCAACTTACCAAAAGGTTTTTCCCTCCAACATTTTGCCATTTAGCCACTGGTTCTTCTAATACCTGTTGGGAAGAATTTTTTATTATATTTCTTAAATGAAGAATTCCAGGAAAATGGTATTACCACAAGCACTCCATGAGCATGATTGAGAAGAGAGTGCAAAGCACTGACGATCAATCAATTTTTTTTTTTCATTTCCCCTTTCATTTTTTATACTTAAGAACTCATTTATCTCTATGTGCACGTATGATTATGAAAGAAATAATTTATATTGAGAAAATACTCACTTCTACTAGGGGATTGTTTCTAAAAAAATTTAACAACGTTGTTTTCCCACTTCCAATGTTACCTTCCACAGCAATCTGAAAAATATAAGCTTAAGTTGAGTTCACCAAATATTAAAATTTCATAGTGAAGGGCATTTCTGAATATCAAACCATGATCTTATCAGATAATTTGGAAGACAATTTAAGTTACATCAGAAGCATATCACCTAGTTACATGTAAGCTTATGTTCGAATTCTGATATTATGCGTTAACCCTCGATAAATAAAGGCTTCTTTTTCTTCTTCATCATCGAAAGAGCCAGGGTAATCACGTCATACCGTTATATTGGTTTTTGGTGAATCTTCTTCCATTGGACACTCCGCTTCAAGACAGTGTAGTTGATTTAAGCTAAGCATAATTCTGGAGCATCGGAAACAACAAACAAACGTCAAGATATCTGTGAAAGAGAATTGAACGGAGCAAATATATCAAATACTGCAGATCACAGGGTCAATTCAGGCAACCCAATCTTGAGTATGCGAGATGACGAAGAAACTACAAGATCGGTAAATGTGTCCGCATCACGGTATTTTACAGTAAACGGGATAACAACAAAGAACGAACAAGGTAACGCTTTCAAGCACGCTATCACTCTACATTACCAGTGTAGCAGAAATTCGCTGCCAAATAGAGGAAGCAGTTGATAATAACAACAAAACAGCGCAAAAAGATCGTTGAAATAACATTAAAACAAAGTTAAGCTTACCTTTCCACTCAAAAGTGGCCAGCAAGTCAATACTTGCAGGAGTAAATATGGCGGCGATCCGGAATCAAATAGTGGCGGGAAAAACTGAACAGTATTATGAACGCGAGAAGTCTGGAGCTAGGTACCCAGATCTCCACAACCTCGTTTCTAATTTCGCTACCAAGGGATTTATTCAGAAATCATGGGATAGGATACACCCTGTAGTCAATACGAAAACTGACCATAAACCTAGACAGAAAAACTAGGGGATAAAGAAATATTCTGGGGCCATTTACAAATAAATAGCCTTCTGTGTAGCTGCTGTTCACTGAGTGGAAAAACGTTTACTTCAAACTTTATCACCCATTTGTACTGTTTGTCACTATCCGAAAATTCCCTGCCCCCCACCCCCCCCCCCCCCCCCCCCCCTCCCCCTACTCCGTTTCCAAAAAGTGCTATGCAGCTGACTTATCATTTTGTAATCTACCTGCAAAGAGATTTATGTAATACGGTAACCCATCACCACAAATATACTAAAACAAGAAATACAGAAATTTTATTAAACTATTGGGATAAAAAGGAGATGACACTGTGCAGACATTCTACAATCTCATTTCCTCAATGTTGGAATTTTAAGGCAAGGTATTAACTCTCTTTCTAAAATTAATATTCAATTTTAATTGAATAAGATTTACAATAAGAAAAGCATTTATAAGGAACTGATTAAAATTTAACATTACAACATAACTGAACTGTAAGAAAGGACTATTTGCTGTGAAAGAAAATAAGATTCTAGAAATATTTAAATGTCTAATAATTTTTTTTTTTTGTCTAATAATCTTACCTACTGTAGTGTAAGCAATGAAAGAAATCTGGATGTTTGTATATACTTCTGAATTATGAAAGGTACATTAAACACGGACATTGATTGCCCTAGGAGATTTTCAATGTGATTGACTCTGATAAATATTTATACAAAATATTTAACTGATTTAAAAAAATAGAAGCAAAGGAACTTATAAGACTTGAAGGTAGATGTAAAAGAGCAAACACATTTCAGTATCCTGAATTTCTAAATATAAAAGCGTGTCTTTATTAATTAATATTGGTGTTACTAATGATAAAGCTTCTGAGCAGGCACTGTCACTTGCAAATTTTGCAAAAAATTGAACAAGCCTAACCACTGGTTACAATTCACATATAAAACAATTCTCTTCCGTACAACTGCTCTAATCACATCTATGTACAAAAGAAACAAAACACGGGAGTGATAGAACTGTTGTTAAATTGGATGGAAATCTCCAGGGTAACATGCAGGCTTTTGCAAGCTTGGTGGCAAACATTATTTTCTTTAGTGTATTATTAAAAGCTTTATAATATAAATTGCAATAATATAGATACATACAAATACAAATTATTAATATATACATGTTCATGTATATACAGTGTAATTTGTGCAAATTTAAATGATAGGATAATCTCTATAAAACTGTAATGTCATTCTGTTTTTGAAACGTTGATCCCAAGGAGAAGCTGAGTGTTTGTTTCATAAAACTGAAACATATCGTCTAAGCTTTTATTTCCATCTACCACCTGAAACAGATAAATACAGGACTTAATGTCGAGTCACAAGTGACACTGTGTCGATTTATATTTCCTGGGCAATTAGAAAATCATGGCGTATTCAAGAGGTATTGTCTACATGAAATGTATACAGTAGCAATTTTATTAGATAACATTTTTTTTAAAATGTTTAATAAGGAAGACTTAAAACATGTTTTTGATTAGGAGTTTTTCTATAAATTAGCAGGTACTTAAGTGAAGTATCTTCTTGCAAAATTAAATGGCTGTGCTCTTACAGTGCCTGGGTGCCACAGGTGACTAACTTTTCCTTTGGGCAATTAGAAAATCTTACTTTTTTTATTATATATGCTTAAGTGCTGGGCACCCAGGATTTCATGGATAGGAACCTTTGGGCTCCTCATAATTTTCTTAGGTCAAAGCCTTGAATAGCTTCAAAATCAGAAAAAAGTCTCCCATATTTTAGAGTCCCTTATAGAGGCTGGTTTTCACTTTTGAATCATGAGCAGACATACACAGCCACAGTAAGATGAGTACTGTAAGGTACCAGCTTTTGTGGGTCGGAATGTTTTTAACAGAAGGAACTAATGATCAACATCTTATTGCACTGCATATGTTGCTTATGCTTTTTTGCTATTGAATCCTGAGCCGTAACTGAAAATGTCATTGCCCTTCATGGCTGGAAGTTGCTTTTGTTCATACTGTCAACCCTCCAGGCATATCAAACATTTACACATATGCAAAAGGATAGTACAGTAAAACACTTACCACGACTGGAGCTGGAATATAGAATTTGTCCTTTTTTATAAGCCATTCTTCATATCTCTCATGTAAAGAATTTAAAAGCTCCTGCAAGAAAAAAGGTCCTTTAATTCAATCAATTCCCCTCTTCTTTTTTATTATAATTTACACAACACAAAGAATTTTGCATTTTTGTTACACAAGGTTGCTAAACAAACACACATATCTACCAATATTTATCAGCTTGTCTGCAAAATGTAATTTTTTTGTTAATAAAGGCCTTCATGGCATTTTTCACAACTCTTTTTAAAGAAGTATTTTGTATTTGGAGCATGGAATTTTAAATATAGCTTACTGGTCACATGTGGATTGAAACTTCAATAATAATTCTGAGATAACATGGGGTACCAAATAAGTGTATGCAATTTTGGTCTAAGATACAAGGGTAAAACAAAACATTCTAAATTTTGGCTATGAAAATTATAACATCTTGGCGGTGATGGAACATTATAAAGTCAGCTGGCTCCCAAGCCCCCTACACCCTCAGTCTGTACCTTTAGGGTTACATGTATAGAACTTAAGATATGCAAGAGAGAGACTGAAGTGCCTGACGTTAGTATGTCACATGAAATGTAGTACTTTTGCTGTGCACACAGATCTGACTTAAATACATACCATTGATACAGAAGTTTCCTCATCTCTGCTTCTCATTTTTATTCTCTCCATGCATTTCTCTGGTGATGTTCTCAGATAAACTAAAAGTAAAAACAATGTTAAAATTTCTAAAATTCTCAGATGTGTACATGTACCATTTGTGCTTTCAGATCATTATGGTAATAAAGATATATCAAGCTTACTATTTAATATTATGGGTCTTGCAACTTGATAAACCAGACTTCCCACGAGGACTGCTCTGACCACACCCTACTCATATGCCGTCAAGTCAAACAAATGTTCAGTACACACCTATCAAGTCTACTTGTGGCTTCTCAGTTGTCATGAGATAATCAAACCATTCCTGGAAGACTGTGTACTCAACTGTTGACAATGTGCCACTGTGTGTCAAGAAAATAAAACAAGCATAACATTATCATTTGATAAGTTAATTTGTTGTCGCATCGCATCCCTAAGCCCTTTCTCCATAATTAAAATAATCAAGAAAAAGGAAGTACGATTATTTGTTATCTGTCGCTGTGGTACTTACAAAATAAATGTATAATTACAACTTAATGGCTTTGGTTTGTTTTAAGGTGGACAATTTTATTGTAATCTACTTTTTTTTTAAAAAAGTCACGATCCAGAGGTTATTGATTTATCCAG